TCCTTATATCTTCTCTGGAATTGTGAGCATGCTGCTCAGCATTATGAATCCACTGTTGTGCTTGATCCTGATTTTGTTGTATATCTCATTCAATCTGGACTGGAGGTCTATCTCCATATATGTTTCCAGGATGAGAGACTGGTATAAAATGACATTTTGGACGAGGTTCTCTGTCATCGGCAGGAGGTTGAGCTCTGCAAACATTTCATGAGTCACCTTGAATAAATTCAGGTTGATGAGGATGCCGTATATGACGAGGGTCGACTGATGGTACAGCAGCAGGTGCTCTTCTTGGTTGTTGAGGAGCTCTATGCTGGTCCACAGCTCTCTGCTGTGGGTATGGATTTTGTGGTTGTGGAGGAGTAGGTGGACATTTAGTGGTTGCTGGTGATGAGGTGGTGGTTAGATCTGATCAGGATCTGGAAGTGAATGTAGGCTTTCAGAATCGGATGAAGAGTCCTGGTCGTCTTTGGAACTGGGGTCAAAGGTCTCGGTCTTTTTGGTATCTGAGCAAAAAGGAAAAGAGTCTTCTACGAATTTTGCAGTGTGGGAAATTATGATCTTTTGACCATGTAGAAATTGGTAACCTTTTGTATTAGGCTTGTAGCCTAGGAAAACCATTTCAACCGCATGTGGTTCCAATTTATCTTTTCTCTGTTCTTTTGGAACCCATACAAAGGCTTTGCAGCCAAAGGTGTGGAAATAGGAAATGTCAGGCACTTTTCCTAAGAAAAGTTCAACAGGAGTTTTAAAGAGAATCCTCTTGAGAGGAGTTCTGTTGTACACATGAAGTGCACAGTCAAAGGCAAAGTTCCAGAATCATTTTGGAACACAAGCTTGATGTCGAATGGTCCCAGCTTTTTCGGAAATAGTCTGATTAAAGCGTTCTGCACAACCATTTTGCTGTGGTTGGTCGGCAATAGATAAATGATGGGTAACTCCACACAAAGAAAGGAGCGCTTTAAAAGTTGAACCCATAAATTCTCCCCCTCGATCCGAATGGAGTGCAAGTAAATGATGCCCAGTAGTATTTTGCATGGACACCATCCAGTTGGCAAAAGCAGTATAAGTATTGGATTTAGCATGAAGGTAGAGACAGAAACTGTAAGATGAATAATCATCCAAGAGGGTTAAAATATATTTGGACTGGAAATAAGATTCAACAGGTAATTCAAGAAGGTCAGCATGGACCAACTCGAGAGGTTTCATTGCGCGTTTCCAAGAAGGTTTGAAGGATTTGGAAGATAATTTGTCTTGTGTGCAACCTTTACAAGGAGTAGGCTCCCCCTGTAGTTGTATGTTAGGCCCTAATCTGTGAATGTGTCTGAGAACAGCTTGAGCTGGATGACACATGTGATTATGCCATAAAGACTCTTGAGAAATCCTTATCAGAGGGCAAAGGACCCCATAGGCAGTGGTAGGTGGAAGTGGTACACCCACAAACCAATGAAGAGGTGAAGTCGGTGAAGCTATTTTGGCTTCAAGGACAGTCCGGCCATCTGGTGCTCGGATTATCTCACTATTGAGTGTCGCTGTGCTCTTATACCTGTTTGTTAAGAGCACATTTCTTGAGCATAGTTGCTTTGAAAACAAAGGACTGTAAACAACATTATGTAGTGGCAGGTTACTGCCATTTTCCAGGTGAATAACCACTGTTCCTTCACTGAGTATTTGAACTCTACTTAACCCAGCAGTTGATGCATGAGAAGGAGTTTGAAATTCTCAAAAAGTGAGGAAATCAGTTTTAAATGGAGTCACATGATGTGATGCTCCACTATCCAACATCCAAATCGACTCACCCTTTGGTAGGTTTTTAATATTGACATGTATACCCAAAGGATAACAGTCATAAGAATTGAAGGCATGTCCATCGAATGCAGAAGGGAGATATCCCAACACAGATTCGTTTGGATCATACTCGATGTCCAGATTATGCTTTATACGAAAAGGTTTACATACAGGTTTTTCTGGCACAGATTCGTGAAATTGTGATAAGGACATAGGATGGTTTTTCTTTTTCTGGTTTTTTACCAGTATGGATTTTCAGAGAGATCCTCTGTTGTCACAATCATGTCCTCGAAGTCAAGGGGCAGACTGACTAGAATTCCGTATTGTCAGCAAAGCCATACCACCATTGTCCTTTGCATTCCGATCCTCCACCATGTTCTCACCAACCAAAATGGTATCTCCTACTCGTACTGTGGGTGCGCAGGAATTACTCGGACATGTCCTGTCTGGCTGAGTAATGGAAAGGGAAATCATCCTCTGATAAGAGTCCGAGTTCATCCATTCCCAGGGTTCCCGAAGGGATGAGTCTACTTGCTGGCAAGTGAGGGCTGTGCGGCAACAAATTGAACATGTACATGGGGAATTAGATCTAGGAAGTTTTACACAAATCTTGACTGACTCAACTCGATCCAGTTGATAATTGGAAATTTCATCGATATACCAGGATGCGAGTTGACCAGTGGTAGCATCAACAGGATTATTCAGAGTATTGGCTACTTCTTCCATAGCCATGGTAATATCTGCCCATGTGAGTTCTGGATCATATACCTCAGTGTCAGTAATGACATGTTGTCCGAGGTATGTGTTAAGGTTGGAAGAATAAACTCATTCAACTGGAGTAGAATCTGGGAGAGAATATTCTGGAGAATTATCACGGTTTTGGATATCAATTGCAGTGATATCAAATTCTTCAGCAGCATTCTCGAATTGCTCCTGGTCAGGGTAAACATCCCACGACCTAGAACTAGGATCATAAGAACCCTCAGGGAGTTCTTTGATATCAGCCGAATTAATAGCTTCGGCTCCTTTAACTTCGAGATTATTGGTGCGGGCCTTGCCCTTGCCATGATGACAGTTTTGGCCTTGACCACGAGAACCAGAACCTTTCTGCTGCTGTGGGGAAGGAGGTTGATATCCCCCATGTCCATGACTGCATCCTCCATGACCTCTACCTCGGCCACCATGGCCTCAGTAAAATCCAGAACTAGATCCACCAACATGATCTTGAGTATTATGACCACCCCTGCAGATGTTGCAAAGTGGTGGTTTATTCATGTGTGCCAGAAGGGAATTTGATTCTTGTTTTATATGGGTTTGCGAGGAAGACCCAGCCTTTTCAGTTTGTGGAAGCATAGACTTGCCCAATTTGTTGGCCCAGACTTCTTTCATGCGAGGAATAACAGTATCAGGGGCGAGTTGATCGGCAGGAATGGATGATAGAATATTGATGGGTGCTTGTTCCCAGGCTTGGGACATAGCATGAACCAGGATGAGAGCTTTCATTTTATCATTCAGGGTAATACCCTGAGCAGTAATGGCTGTGAGGAGCATAGTAATGTCGCAAATTTCCTAGATCCATGACAAGTCATTAGCATACCTTAATAGGAGCGGATTTCCCACACCGCCTTTTAATGACTTGTAACGCCACCCACTTTCCATGAACATGTGGTTGAAATCACGTGTCATCTCATGATTATGACTTTGATGACTCATTATTTTACATAATCATGGTATTATATTGCTGCAGCCTAATAAGTACTTATAATGACATGACAATGGCAAAGAACCCATAGTAATACCAGGAACCCATCACAATGTATACTAACCATTATTATTTATTAATATTTTGACAATCCGTTGTTATTTCATTTTGCCTTGGTACAGTCATGACAATGGTTAAAGTTCCATTTCAGAAATCACTACTTATCGATGTATAGACAAGTGGTGGTAATAATTGGAGAGTTCTACCTAATAATGCCAGTGGTGCACATGGATATGCAAAGCAGACAATGAGTGACTAAGAACGGCAAGGGGAGGAAGGGACAGCAGCTAAACGTAAGTATGGGAGTCATTGTGATGATGACACAAGGAGGAAAGTAAATGCATGCGCTGTGGACAACCATCAGATCACTAATAGCTTATACAGCGTAATTGAAACACTTACGAGATTAGTGAACCAATGAGGGTGGCAAGATGGGACGACAGGATGAGGAAGATAGAATAAGTGTTACACAAGAGGCATTCATAGCATCGAGCAATAGGATGGAGCTGGCATCGACAGGCAACACTGATGTCATGAGTTGTCTGGAACCTTAAAAAAAGTTAATGTCAGAAGTAATAGTGTCATGAACGAAAACATACCTCGACCCTTGAACCCACTCCCCAGGCAACAGACAACGACAAACAGGCACGACATAGGTGGATAACAGCAACAACACTGTATGACAATGCAATGAACCATGTGGGAGACAACAAGGCATGAGAAGAGCGGTGAGTCACTTATAATATAGCTAGCGGAGTTTGAATGACTTAGAAGAAATCAGATGATCAGCGACTGATGTACGATTTGCAGCGAATGAACATATTACAAGTATATCTACATAGCCTTAAAACATGGACTGCATCTAATGTAATGGGATGCAAGCCAAATCAAAGACCAGTAGATCATTGGAAACTCGGCACATAAGTGACAATTGCAATGTGATGATTCAAACCTTCATCTTCTTCGGTTTCGAGGACCTTGTAGCAGCAACATGGTGACCATGGCGGGTAGGTTCCAGAGCTGGTTCAGTAGCATGAATATCAGTCAGTAAAACCCTCAGGAACCACCTTGGGAATGGCTGCAATTCGCCTTTTGAGCAGCTGAGCTGCACCAGCAACTCATGACTGGAATTGCTTGTCGGGATCAAGATGTTTCAGCCTCAGCTGCACCAGACACATTCATCTGACCAACAGCAATGGTCACCTGCTGACACCTCAACACCACTGTTCGAAATCAGCTGCCCAATTGAGATAGAAGGGGACGATCGACGAGAAGCACCAGAAATAGTTTGAGCAGCGAGATCAGGCTTGTGCAGCAGTGATGCTAGCTGGACGAGAGTGAGGGGGATTGAAATGAGTGACCTGAGCCAGTAATAGGTGATGGAGCGTGAGAGACCGATGACAGATTGGAGTCATGTAGACCTGAATCACGGCTGCCAGGGGCATTGGGGTCATACAGTGTGGAAACAGGGTGGGGTGTGACTGTCAGTGGGGTCAATGTTGTCGAGTTCATCTAAAAATTCATCTTCCCAAGTACACGGCTGCTCCACATTAGCAAATACCTCGGATTTGACATTCGCCAATTGAGAACCCTTCCCGAAGACTTCCTGGTTGAAGAAATTCATCACGCTGACAGCCCAAGGAGATGCTTTGAAAAGCTTCTCGAGGTAGAAATCATATTCTGATCGGTAGTTGACCTGTGTTTCTGCACCGGTAGCACTTAATTCAGGATCATGCAACAATAGGAATCAAACCTTGGTATGATATTGATGTCAGCGTGTACTAGCAGTGACCATGGACACTCTCACCAAGATGCAGGCACCAGCAATCAGGCCCTCAGTGACGCTCAGCACGCCCATCTTCTGTCCCCTGGCTGGGGGCCATCCATGTTTGTTTTCTGCGAGGATCGATTTTCCGAACATCAGGACACGGATAACCTATGGGCTGAAATCAATTTTCGAGTAAGAGCAGCATTGAACTGCACATGCCTACCTTAACTAGGATGGGACTCTTCAAGAAGCCTCCAGTAACCATCTGCTTAGGATCTGCAAAAAGGATGGGTGCAAAACGGGTGTACTCTCTGACTCCATCCTTCTTCAAGAGCTCCAGGCATGCCTTGTTGTCCTTCTTACAAGCGGGCTTTCCAGTAAAGAGATCCGGTGAAATGTTATATGGAGCGAATAACGTGCCAGCACAGTCCTTGATGACTTTGAGGACATTGGATCTCTCCTGACTGTGTGCTTGTATGAACTTCAAACAAATTAATACATTAGTGGTCACCAAGGTTGGAATTACACGTACCATGGAGCCAAATTGCTTGTAGGTTACCATTGACTCATGTAAATCTGCAGGAATCATCTCATAAAGCTCAGTCAGAGCGCCCTTGAGCTTCCCATCCTGTGATTTCCACCATGCTGGATCGTGTCGATCAGTATTGGGATTTGGAGCTGCTGGGAAAAGGCTTTGAATAATGAAAAAATGGTACAGTAGGAGGTATTTCTTTGCTTCTTGCTCAATACGAGTCGTGAGGCTGTTTGGCTTGCTAGAAGCGTTCCTGGACCGCTTGGAACGCTGGCTATTGGCTTCGAAGAGAGCCTTCCTTGTCTGGTGCAGTTCCTTGCGGCATTCGGTGTATGCTCGCTGCACAACACTGAGAGCCTAGCATCGTGTCAGTACTAATGCCTAGTGACTCATCATGAACAAGAATGTATATGTACCGCTTGCAGCTCAGCAATGTCAGCTTGAGGTCCAGGAACATGGGTAAGTCGCCTGTGCTGTTCGGCGTCACTGTCCAGGTCTTCCAAGTCAGCATTGTCCATCCCTTCATCAAGGTTGAAGTCTTCGGGACCTCCATCCTTGGCATCAGAGTTGAAGGCGTCATAAGCAGTGCTGGGTGTCATATCAGTGAAGGAAATGGATGTCAAGGACCAGAGGAAATGGTAAGGCCACACACGGATGGTTGCGAACCTTTGCAAGCCTCCCTTTATTCTCCTTATTAAGGGCCACAGACATCGCGAATCCCAATGGAGGGTGACACCTGTCAGTTGGGTGCTCTTAGATGAATATGGAAAATTTGAATAGTACAACAAAAAGCAATATGTACATAGTAGTAGCCTCAGGGAATCCACATGGCAGACCATCAGTGGGTTGGATGTCAGTGGTTGCAAATAACCAGCTATTGAGCCGGTCTGAGGACATAATCAAGCACGATTTGACAATGCCATCAGCAGTAGGCGACTACAGTATGAAATTTGCTCACCTTAGTCCATTTTGATATGTAATTGAACATGCGTTCCGGGGATCGATGTTGATGCAGTACAAATCGCAAGTGTAATATGCGACAACGCAAGGAATCGTGGCATTGTCACGTGTCAATCGACATGACTTGAATACCTTTTGGGAGCTTTTTTCTTGCTTTCTTTCTGGTTATAATATTACACCCGTTTTATTAAATTTGTTTGTGTAATGTTACAGATGCAGCGCCATATGAGAGACCAAAGGACAATGATAAGGAGTGTTGTAGCGGTACTTTTCATAGTCTAGTGTAGACAATTCGATGCCGGTGTCGCATGAACCCAGCCACAGATTATGCGAGAAAAACTAGTGGAATTGAAAGCGGAATGCTTCAGTGCTGTAAGTGGTTTGAGATGGGTTGGGATAGGAATGATGGGGAACTGCAAACTCACCAGGAGAAGTATGAATCCTTCCAATGGGCAGCAGCAGCCACATGATGAACAGCTGCAGAACCCTGCGTCATCTCTGCTTTATACTGGAAATAATACCACACATACTCCCAAGAAGCAGGTACTCACTGCGAGGATATGACTTCATGCATGAGTGGAGGGCTAAGCAGGTTCCCCTTGGCGAACGAAGATCGAATGGTCTCGCACATTTAGCATGTTGGAAATGGTTTAGGTTGTACCACTTACTCTGGCATGTGGATGGTCTTAGTGGGAGATACAGCGGCAACGGCTTGTGCTACCTTCACAGACATCCACGCCATGCTACTCGACATGATGGAATGGGAAGACGGTGTGTGAAAAAGCATGTATAGTGGGTCGAACCATGGGCAGGACGGAATGTTGCAAAGAGGGACCAGTCGAGTACACAAAGACTTCGTCTTGCTCATAACGTGTATTGTGAGTTTTGTATACGTGCATGCAAACATGAAAAAAAGCGAGACCAGATGCTGCGTTCTGTACAAAGATCTGACGTTGTCAAGGAAAAAAGTCAGCGAGTAAGTGTGTGATGAATTGGATACAAGGTGAAAGGGTATGCTCAGCTTCCCAACACTTGTCTGACTTGAATGCATTCCATCACGACCTTGACTGGCCAGTGATGCATCTGTTGTATCCATGGGTGCAAAGCATCGCCAATGCTCGTTCTGTTTGCTGACGCCTTATCGTATGCCTATAAACTTTTGTCAGTAGCGTATGCACCTTGAGTATCTTCAACGCTCTTGCATCTTCATGGTCTCCATTTGTCCAGTACCTGTTTCAATTAGTAGCTTCTGTTCTCGCATTGTATGAAATTCACCTTGTGCCTCATTCACCAATTCCCCTTGCTGACGGTCGACTGTTGGTCTCTTGTGAGCATGACCTTTGATTCCCCCTCCACTCTCAGCAACGTCAACTCGAAATCTCCTCTTCCACACTCAGCGACTTCAAGTCTACCCCTTCCCTGCCCCACCCATGTCCCCTGATGCATTCAAAATTCCCAACGGCGCTTCAACTCCCATTGACGCGCCCAAGACCACTGAAGTGGCTACAGACGTGTTCAGCGACTTGTATAGCTTGGTGGTATGTCTTCCGTTCCACTTGTGTACTAGTCCGTCGATATTGACTCGCCACTAGAATTTTTCTCCCAACAGTTCGCCCCCCAAATGGGCCGCTCCTGCTGCAGTCGCTATGCCTTCCACCATAGACCCCGCTTTACTCTCCCTCGACACTTATCCCCCTCCTGATATCCCAGCCAACGATGTTCCCGTCACTGAAACGACTGGGCGTGACGTGGACGTCGACTTCCACTCGATTCTGACTTTCCACAACACCCTACAAGCTGTTGTCCATGCACTGGACCGTTTCCTTGCTGAACAAGTTGTGTCCGAGAAGGTCCTTGGAAAATGGAAGAGGGGGGACTAGGGAAGTGAAGAGGAACTGAATCGTGGTTTCTTTGCCTTCAAGGCTTCAACAGACTTGTAGACCTACATACATCCCTTTGCTCTGTAGTTTCAACACTTCATTGGTCAGAGCGTATCTCTGTCGTTGTACATAAAAGGAACGAGATTGTTGTCTGCTCTGGCAGCCTGCTGTCCAGCATCCAGTAGATTGAGTTTCGTGTGGTGGGCATAACAAGTAGTGAAACAGACCGCATGATATCCCCCAATGTCCCTGCATCAGTGCACCTACTACTTACCGCTTTGCTCCACAGCAGGGGGGAAAAGAGTTGGGTATGTGTCTGATGTGATCTGTTCCAGAGTGGTTGCTAACAGTATTAATCGTGACTTACTATTTCTCAATGTCGGCTTCAATCTGTTGCCCAAGTACCTTTCATCTGCTACTGAGCGTGTTGCAAGTCTTCAGATTCCTTGCTAGGATGGTTGATGGCTTGCAAAGGACAAGACGGTGATGGGTCAGAATAGACATCTGCAATGCGCTCAAAATTCTCTGGTTGGAAGGCCACTAGAGACGGTAAGTAACCTACATCACCTGTGTCCATAGGAACATATCACTATCAAGCTGCTCAACAACAAAAAATTCGTCATCATGTTTGGTGTCAGGTGCTAGAACGGCCCCTCGGATGATTGAGCACAACAGTATGAAGATGGACACAGCCTGTGGAACCGGCTTGACACATTTGAGCCTGAGATCACGATCAATAGTGCGGGCCGGTCCGATCCTTGTCGTGAAGAGTTGCGCCAAGATAAATTCCATGTTTCCTATGTCTGGAATGACACAGGAAAACATGCAGATGAGACGAACGAAGGTGGTTTCTGTCTCAGTGTATTGAATAAGTGCACAGTCGTAGCGGTGTGAGTCAAAGTGTGGTTCAGTGGTGAAAACCAACCAAAACCAACACAAAAGACAATGAAAGCGAGTGGTGGTGTGCCTATGCGGTACCTAGATGGTAGAACCTGTTCTTTGGGAGGGTTTTTGTGAGCTACAACACTCAAAGATGAGTGCTGAGGGTTGGGGGTGCTCCTGACGAAGAGGGAGCAAGAACGTGATAGAAAGCGATAGGGTAGACTGCTGTCAGCCTACAGAAGGATGGATAGTGACTTAATTTGATTTCCTAAGCTGTACTGAGCTCAGGGAGGGCTTGGAGCGAAGTATATGGATGATAGATGATGATAAGTGAAGTAGATGATAGCTAGACCCTTAATAAAGTCTCAACTATCGAAGCTGATGAATGATTTACTGAGAGATGATAAATTGTGAGCAAGAGGGGTTCTCTGATGTCTTTTTTTTTTTGCTACCTAAGTACAGTGACTTATATACAGTACAGGGGCATTGCCTATGGAAAACAAGGTGCAAACACTTGGTAAGTGATTGGTAACTGATGAGTAAGGAATGTAAGCGATGGGTAATCGTCTTGGAAAGCATTGGTAAGCATTGGTAAGGATAAGTAAGCCAAAAGGCGAAGAATCAGGAAGCAAAGTCAAAAGATTGGTAAGTATTGGCAATAGGTGAGTCAAAGACAGTCAGAATGTCAAAGTATGAGTCAAGCAATGTCAGGAACCAAGAAAGCGCACTGGAATCACATTAGGGGGAGGCTGTGCATGTCACATCTTGAAGAGATTGCTTCTAGGCCAAAGTGGGATGACAGAGAGGCAGCACTGATCTGATGGCGATATAGTACATCCAAAAGTGGACAGGGTGAGTCAGATGTCAACAGGGGTCAAGCTTTGGGGGTCTGTGGGGTGACAGGAGCATAGGGGATTGCAACTTTCCCCCCCAAACCATCCTCTCAGTGAAGCAAATAAAAACTTCATGAATGAGGCTCTGTTGGAAGAGAGGATGAAGGGGGAGTGTCTTCTGCTGTATCTTGCAACAAGGAGGCAAGATGTGCATCATACTCATCATGGATGCAATCAGGGAGAGTGGAGAACAGTAGATTATACTGTAGCTGTTGCAATTTTGGAAGAATGACGGACGAGACCGGTATGAAGATGTTGCAGGGGGCAGGGAGGAAGGATCCATATGCTTCTTGGACTGGAGAGACTGAAATGACCACATAAGACCTTTCCAAGCAAATGACAGACCTGAGGCGACCAAAGAACGTCCTCCTGGAGGTCATACTGACAAAAAGAACACACTGTCCAAGCTGGATGGGCTGAGAGGGGGCAGATGAGGGTGGGATGTACCAGGACACTTCAGGACGGAAGCTGGTAGGAACTCCTGGTAGATATATGTAGCCATGGTCCCTAGCAAAGGGGACAAGCAAAATGACTGATGTGGAGGCAGCCATATCAGAAGAATTAGCAAAATGAGCCTCTTTTGGAGGGAGTGCTGTAGAAACGTGTGGAGTGCACAAATCCTTTCCAATCTTGGAAGGTAGGATCGCGTGGCTGAGCACTACAAGCGAGTGTGGGAATGGTTTCAGTGTCTGCAGAATTGGTGGAGATGTGTTGAAAACCAGAATGCTGTACACGGGCGCTTAAGAATTTTATTGGCGCTTAACCTGCCTCCTCCTTTTTCTTTGGCATTGACAACCTGTTCTTGTGCAAGAGGGATGACTGCCAACATTGCTGGCTGTCCTTCTTTGCATGAGGGCTATGGTCTTCACCTCCATTCATCAGCTACATCCATGTCCACCTCACCAAACACCTTTGGTGTGTGACAGCGGGGCACACCAAAAAATGACGGGTTGCAGTGGAGACAATCTGTGCACTGGTTCCAGGTGACAGTCGACTCGTAGTTGACCAGCAGATAACAGTATTCTTTAACCTTAGCACAAGCACAGTTTCAACTAGATGAATGTATAATGAGAGTGTAGATATGTACCGTGAAGTCAGCAGGGAGGGAGATCCATGACTTGACTTGATATCCATATGCCAGAAGGGCGTCATTAAGGAACTCGCAGAACCTTTGACGGAACCGATGGAACGCCATATCTGGCTGACCATTTTCCTCTAAGTCTTTCAGGGTTTGGGTCGCGACAACGTGTGCACCAAGCTTAATATGATCAAGTGAGGTATGCTCACTGACCACATCAGCTTCTGGATCTGATTCCCCAGAGACAGATTTCTTGAGGTGATCAACACGCAATCTGAGAAGCTTCGTAGCAAGAACTTGGTGATCTACCCACAAGACCTAACATGCATTTTAAAGTGACTGTGAGTAGGAATGTTGGCACACACGGTTGTCATACCTGAGCAGGAACATCTCTACCATTCGAATGGTGTTCATATGCGTCTCGGATTGGCTTATGCATACTTTTGTTGGGCCAAGTGCTATAGTTGCACATGGCACCCTTTAGGCGGATATCTCAAATGACGTGCTTCCAAAGGTGGACTTTCGGGAAATTCCAGTCAGTTCGCAGACCATCAATGTTGGACTTCATGACACATTTGGTGTAGTCCTGAAAATGACACATTACAACAAATTGGCATGAGCACAAAGTGTATAACTACCTTCAGTGTCTGATCAAATGTCAATATCTCGTCATTGATCATGTTAATCATATGTTCGGTCTGGACATCTAAGCCGACAAGGCTATCAAGCTGTAGGTAGCTTCAGATGACTCGGAGGAGCTGGTACCCTTCAGGGGTTACACTCTTCTTCAAAACATTGATCACTGCATAGAAGATTTGCTAGGGAACAGTTCATTGACAGCCATCCGGTATTGGACACACACACCTTGGAGATATCGGCCAGCTTGTTACCATCTGAAAAAGTGACGTGAATAACTTGGTTGAAGTGTGCGAGGTTTTGCCAGCGAGGAAAACTTGCAACACTGTTGTTGTCAAAGGTGAGAAGTGACAACATTCACAGCAATTGTTTGTCAAACAGTGACTCACTACTTCTTGACGTCGGCTTCGATCTGTCACCTGAGCGCCTTTACAATCACCTTTAGGTCCCCAAAGACGTGCTTGCCCCAAAAACCATGCCCATAATGCAGTCAGTCAAAGCTGCAGGCGAGGTGGAGATCAGAGAACCCAATCATCCAGAACACATTCTGCATCCCATTAAATATTAGTTCATTGACAGGTGATTTGTTGGTGGAAACTTACTTCGATCGGTCATAAACCTAACCACTTTAGCAATTCATCGCCTTCGACTCGATTTGTTGCATGAACACATAACGCATCGATGCCCTGGGCATGTGTACAAGGTTCAAAAGTCCTGGAGAGGTCATGGAGTAGCTCTGACGGTACAAGACATACAGGGCAAGGGCGTTTGCCACCGTGACCACGAGTGAGTGCCATCATGCATCTATAGTAGGCCATTGAGTTAGTATTGCCAGTTTGAGCAAGAAGAAGAAAGTATATTACATCTCTTCAAAATTGGCAGACAGTATCATAAGACTTGGAAAGAGCCAATGGGTAATGTTGTCATGCGAAGATGTATGTGCATACCCAGTCTTCGAGTACTGCTCAATCTCCAGAAGTAACTTTTTGAAAGATTTGTGCCAAACGACACACTTGAGGGTTGTGTAGCCTAGCTTTCCCTCTTCTTTGGCATCTTCGGGGACCTGAAATGTTCTTAGTCTATATGAATATCTAAACAGTGGATGTCATTCACTATAGGCAGCCAGCCGACAACAGTACCCCTGCCAACAACATTGCTATTCTGAATCTCAACTGGTAAGTTTGCACAGCGCACAACGACAGGGTAACTCTTGGCAGTGCCGAAAGACGATAGGTTGGACTTGCCAGCATAAAGGATCAGGCCAAATGGCACGGCGTTCTTGATATCTGGTAGGCTCGACTAGCACAAATACAACATGTTATGTACAGGTAATGAATGACGTATCGACCAGGCACATACTTGAATATCCCACCAATAATCTCCGGTCCAGGGCTCGTCATAAAAACATTCATACTCAATGCCGTTGTGCCTGTAGAGTCGCTGTGCATCCCAAGTGAAGTGCGGACTGAGGAATGGATTTTCTAAGATATCGAGTGCCCACTCCCACAGTGGGCGAATATGCGCTTCGAACGTACATTCTTCCTTTTTGTATGGTACCTTAACTTCGACCCTGGAGAACTATTTAGAGAGGTAGGACGGATGGCAATGAATGGACATTTGAAAATCTTACTGGAGTGAGTTCCATTGCAGCTGCATCACACGCTTTGCGAAGTTTGGCATCATTCTTGAGCGTGACTTGGATGGCTCCCTGTGTGACATGAGCAATGAGATCCAGCAGGGCATTGACCTGTTGCTGGTTGAGCAGTGAAGCGAGTGCGATTTCCGCAAACTCGAAGTCACCCAACGTACGAAATGGGGACCAAGGTGTCTTGTCAACCAGGGATGCAGATTTCTCACTGCGAACATGGAACTCTTCATAAGACTGATAAATCGGTGGTCGATTGCTTCTCGGATGAAATTGGATCTTGAATTCAGGAAGTTTTGCCACATTAGAACTTGTGGAAGTTGGCATCGACATGTCTGAGGGAATTATGAGCACTGCAAGAATGCACACCAAAGTGAATATGTACCTGAGGTGTGGAGCATGTCACTTGTCTCATTGTAATCTTGTCCCATAGTCACCTCGACTGCAGCCGCAGCTTATCTGAGACTAGGGCCACAACATAAATGAAAGTCAGACTCACCGGGTTCATTGATGAAAAAATATCCTGTATCCGTACGGTGAGCTTCGGGCACTCGAGACTGTGATTTGAGTACCGATGCTCTCGCAGCTCGATGGTGGGCAGCTGAGTTAATAATTGAAGCCAGAAACCATTAGATTGAGTCTGCCTGCGCTATGCACCAATTCACATACCTCATTGTTTCTCTTCGTACTGACATTCAAAAGCTACATGCTCCCTCTCATCTTCTTTGTGCTTCCTGCAACTCGCCTCATGCTGCTTGAAACCGGTTTTCTGAAAATTCCTGTTGCAGTGTGGGCATTGATGGAAAACAGCATGATTCCGTTCAGCATTTTGATGGGTTGAAGCCAAACGGGTGGTATGGGAGGGAGCCATGAGAGAAGATGTCTCGTAGCTGACTGATAGTTGTCAGACATGCTGCATACGCTGTGTTCGGCTGATGTAAGACAAATGTCACGCCATAATATCAGTCATTATCAGATCATTATCACTCAGTAACTCGGGTAACTCCTGTCCAATGAAACTTCTTCCCTTGGCACTGCCCCCAAGCCATTGACATATCATTACCAGGCCATTTTAATGACCCTAATAAGGAAACTCACAAGCATTGTCAGCTGGCAGCATTATCAGGCACCTCGAAAATTTGTGACAAATCTCCGAAATCTTGGTCATTATGTCATCCTTTGGTTTAATTTGAATGCAAATAAGGCGTTGAAACTCCATAAATGTAGTCATTGCAGATGGAGCGCCATAGGCAGCTTGTAAAGCAAGCCATTTCACATTTGAAGTAGCAAGCCTGTCAATTGACATTGCAATCATTGGATCACAATATAGAGTCAAGATCCCTTGAGGACAAACATCAGAGACATTCCATGCATCAATAGCAGCTTGAGGTGCTGCTGGGAGTGCAACAGTGCCATCAATGATTCCCATGATACTGAGAGTTTGCATGTAAGCCTTCATTAAAACTGACCAAGAGGCATAATTGACTCCATTAAGTTTCGGAATCTGCTTTGAAAGACCTTCAGACATCTTTAGAAGTCCATTAGAAGGTGTTCATAAAGAAAAGAGTGAGTCGGATGAGTTTGAATGGATGGAGGATTTAATGTGTAAAGTCTGATTTGTTTTGGTCTGCGAGCAGATGCTCTAGCAGATTGAGATGGGTGGCAATAGCGAAGTTTGGGAATATGAGGACGAGGATTTCGCCAGACTTTTTTGATGCTTGTACCTCTCTCAGCAAATCGTCTTGTAGGGATGCGAGAGTTATTGCGCTCTAGACTTTCAAAGTCTAGTGGAGGGAAATAGTGGTATCCAAGGAATGACCACTTGCAGTTATGCAAAGGTTTGCCTCCAGAAGTGAATCCAAGATATGGATCAGTGCAGGAGTATGGTACATTGACAGCATCAGAGTGGCGAAAATGAAGGTCTTTTACAAGTACTTCTAGAGTATTGTAAGACTCGTCAATGATACAACTGTCAGTTCCCAAATGGTATCACCCTCCTGATATGTACGGTACATCCATCATACTTGGAAGAGGATAGACTCTGGCATATGGCTCGAGCTGCACGAGCTTGACTAAGAGCCGTAGACCATATTCCGCAAGGTCAGGGTTCCATGAGATAATCGAATGTATCTTTCTCCATGGCATGTTCTTTCTCCATGGCATGTTCGAGATCATTATTAATCTCTGTTGTGCTGGGCCAGTAAGCGAAGTCAGTGTGAGTGGTGTTTGAAGACCAGAAAAGATGCCTGTTAGCAGGCATATATCGCAGCTCACTTCCCACATCAGTAGACTCCTTGAATCGTCATATAAACCCAGGCAGGTTGCTATCAAAACGGTCTCCTCCTCGTCAGTGCTCCCAGAACCACCTTGGGACACACTGGATGTCAGTGCTTCCATCAGCCCAAACTCCTCTGAAATTCCACTCCAAATGTTGGTTCCAAACTCATAAAGGAGGGATGAGGCCGTTAAAGCAGGCTTCATAGAGTAGATGGGCATTGAAGCAGATGTAGACAAAAGTGTCATGCATGACAGTGAACACTGGAACAGTGAGGAGGGAAGGATCTTCATAGGTAACACTAGGAAGGTCGCAACTGTTGAAGTTAGTGATGGCATGAGGAGTTGAAATATGGGTTAATTTAGGAAAGAAATTGCTTAAGTAGCCATGGAAGGCTAGATGAAGGCCAGGATAAAAATATGGAGATTCGAAACTGGGAAAGTGGGGCATCACCTGCCACACTGTTTCCACAGTGTCAAGCGGAACGAGGTACATTGCAGGATTCAGCTTTTTGAAGTACACCATTGATGATGGGACTGCCTCTCTCCAAGACAAACAGTCGCATACATATAACATCTCAACAAATTCTATAATCTCTTTTACCACATACTTTCTCCACTTCACCTCATGCATTCCATCACAATGCTCAGCAGTGAGCAATTTGGTTTTCTTGGCAACAACAAGAGACATGCTTGAAGAAGTAAAGACCATAGATTAGTTCCTGTAATGACAGTGAAGAACACAAATGAATTAAAGGAGATCGAACTCAGTGTTATCACCAGGAGTGACAGCGAGAACAAGCTTGGGATTGAGCAATTTGTTCAGAGCAACCACTTCCTCTGGAAGAGGAGTCAGTGCACAATGTGGAGGAGGTGCATCAGCAGCCTCAACAGCATCATAGGGAGGTATGGGATCTAGGTCAGCATCAAAGTCGATGTCAGGAAGATGGAAATGTAGATAATGTGGAGGTGGAGTTGGAGGTCGACGAATGAGCATCTGAATCAGAGCTCTGTGAACAACTAAGTCTTGTAACAATAGTTGTCGCTGTTGCCACCATGTGGAGAGACCTAGAAAAGAAAGCCAAAATGCGGTAGAGTGAATAAAAAGCTCCCACAAGTAAATCAGATCATAGCCACCATAGTGAAGTAAAAGAACCGCCTGATTAAGACCAGCGGCCAGTGACACAGCAAAGATAACTACTACCATCCCTAGCGCATCTAGGCCTACGATATCCATAGTGATATGCCTGTTGGCAGTGATCGCTCTATGCAGATATGTAAATAGCACACTTGCCTAGAAGGTGGGGCTCATAACCTATTGTGCAGAGGAACAGGAGCTATATGAAGAGCAATAGACAAGAACACTTGCCTTGTTAGAACAGTAGTAGGTTTGAGTAAATTAAGCTTGAGGGGCTCAGTTGTCATATAGACAATAGAAGGCAATGTGGAATTGCAATGATGTTAGGGGAGAAATCCCCAGGTTTATATACATGAGTAGATACACATGGACCAGTAGCATAAAAGGAAACTACTACTATGTATAGTATAGAATAGCAGAGAATGTCATGGAATATGACATATAATATGATGTCATACATGACATCATTGTGGAGCTGATTGCTAAGACATGTCATGTGATGGACAACATGTTGATACACATGTTTTGTCTAGATGTGTCTAGACGTTGGAACATATAGAATATTTCCAACAGACATAGCTCCGTCCAAATACGGGTACAAAAAAACGGTTGAGTTGACGGAGACAGACTTACCGATCTGATGTCGTATGCCGTCGTCAATGCCAATGCTTCCTCGAGATGATCAAGATGCGTAAACGAAAAGGGGCCACTTGGAAACATCGCTTCTAAGTAGCTTCGGATGAGAGCGTGTAAGCAGGGAAAGCTGAGCTGTGATGAGGAGGTCACGCGAAGGATCGAAGCGACATGATTGGAGACTTCAATGATAGAGGGCTGTGAGGAGGAAGGGGGGGGTTCAATCGTCAATATAACACCTGATATCGAGCCATGGTTATTGCAATGTAGACACTGAAATACGCTCACGTATCATGCTATAGATGTTCCAGTAATGACACGAATTCTTCCACCCGGACGCCAAGTCCAGGTGGGACTGTCACCTGTGATATTCACGAGTTATCAGACTCGACTGACTCCCCTTCATCTGTACCTGGGCCTTTGAGCATGCGGCCAAAGTATGTCAAGTGTCGAGCGAGCAGGCTCAAATGTAGTTTGAATAGAACTGTGTCTTCCTCCGGGTCACGATTGCTGAGTGTCCAATGGATAGTGACAATGACGGACCTGTCGTCAAACCAGCACGTGGCGTGCCAGTCACCCCGGATTGCTATTCCATTAGATAATGGCATACCCCTCGACGTCCAAGATGGTCAGATAACGATGTGAACCGACAAAGCCAGATCAGTTTATGATTATGCAAGGGAAGTCCGTACTATGTAGCAGAATGCCAGCCAATGATCAATACAGTACTTTGCTGAGTCTCTGCAGGGAATTCAACAGTACATCCCCCTGCTTGACCACTTTCTCATACTGTGCCATCTTGATCGACGGTCTTGTCGTCTCCACGATCCCATGCACATTATCGATCGTGCAATGCAACCGCCCATTTGCAATGAACCGCAAGAGTTCCCTATGCCAGTCCTGTTGGAAATATTCCTAATAGTTCCGATGTCTAGATTGATCCAGACTTACACGTGTATCAACACGTTGTTCATCACATGACTTTTCTTAGCAATCAGCTCCACAATGATGTCACAATGACATCATAATATATGTCATATTCCATGACCTTCTGCACTATTTCTTACTATACTGAGTAGTAGTTTCCTTTTACGCTACTGGTCTGTGCATACCTACTCATGTATATAAACTCAGGGATTTCTTCCTCAATCCCCATCAAATTCTACATTTGTTCTTTCACTTGTCAACTCGACAACTGAGCCCCTCATCAAAACCTCAACGTTTATCAAACGCTACTACCATTCTGAATAAAGGCAAGTGTTCTTGCCATTGCTCTTCGTCCTTTCCGTTCCTCTGCACAATAGGTTATGAGCCCCGCCTATAACTAGGTGGTAAACTATTTGCGGTATTTGCATAGAGCGTTCACTGCCGACGGGCATAACACTATGGATATCGTAGGCCTAGATGCGCTAGGAATGGTAGTAGTAGTCTTCGCTGTGTTGCTTGTTACCGGCCTTAATCAGGCAGTACTTTTACTTCATTATGGTGGCCTGGATCCGATTAACCTCCACGAGCTCTTTATATGCTCTGTGGCTTTTTGGTTTACTCTATTAGGTCTTTCCGCTTGGTGGCGAAGGCGACAGAACTTGCTTCAAGAGCAGATTCTTCGCAGAGCGCTGTTGCAGCAACTCGTTCTTCGTCCGCCAACTCCACCTCCTCATTACCTTCATTTTCACCTTCCCGATATCGACTTCGACGCAGACTTAGATCCTGTTCCACCCTATGATGTGGCAGAAGCGCTTAACCCGCCTTCTCCACGTCAGGCTCCTACTCCTCTTCCTGAGGAGGTTGTGGCTGTCAACGAGTTGGTTAATCCAAATATCGTTCTCACTGTCGAAGACATCGCTGAGTTCGATTTACTCTAAAACTTGTTTGCTTTGTCGAACAACAGGAACTAATTATTCTAAAAAGATGTCCCTCGTCGTTGCAAAGAAACTTGAACTCGCTATCACTGAACAGCGAGATGGGATGTATGAAGTAAAATGGCGGAAGTATGCAGTAAAGGAAATTATAGAGTATACTGAGATGTTGTATGTATGGGATTGCGCCAGCTGGAGAGAAGCTGTTCCGTCGTCGATGGCTTTCTTCAAGAAGCCAAATCCTGCGACATATCTCATCCCAATTGACACCGTGGAAACAGCGTGGCAACAAATGCCCCACTTTCCCGGGTTCGAATCACCCTTTTTCTATCCTGGCCTTCATTTAGCCTATCACGGCTATCTTACCGACTTCTTCCCAAAATTGTCTCATACCTTGTCGCCTCATGCTATCGCTAACTTTAATGGTTGCGATCTTCCCAGTGCTTACTATGAAGATCCTTCCCTCGACACTGTTCCCGCATTCACCATTACCCACGACACGTTTGTCTATATCTACTATAACGTCCACCCACTCTACGATCCCTGCTTCAACGGCATCATCCCTCCTCTCCGCCTTTGGAACCAGCATCTTGAGTTCCATTTCCGAGGAACTTGGGTTGACGGATCGACCGACATCGCCTGTGTCCCAGGGTGGTTCAGGGAACGAAGACGCAGAGGAGACGGGTTTGATAGTGACCTATTTAGGTCTGTACGACGGTATAGGGATGAAGCAGATGTGGGAAGTACCTTGCGATATAACTCTGCTAACCGGCATCTTTCGTGGGGTCTCGACCCCATTAACGCAGAGTTCGCTTACTGGCCAGGAACAGAAGAGGTTCTACGTGATCTCGAACGTGTCATGGACGACACTACTTTTGACTATCTCGCAGCTCCCCGACCTCGCAGAATTCGCACCACAGCTCTTAGCAGAGCTCGTGAGGCTCGAGCCATACATCAAAAATTATCCTCTTCCAAACTCGCTGGATGCACCGTATGCATCAGGCGGCCGAAACCATTCGGCAACTAATACGTGTACATTGTATGAATCATATAACGTCTTTGAAATTCTTGTTAAAGATAAACATTTTCGTCATTCTTATGCTTTAAATGTACCATATTCTTGCGCTGATCCCTATTTGGGATTTCGATTGGATGGGATTCCATTGCATGATTGCAATTGGAGCTTTATGTCTTATCATTATTTCCCTCTGCTAGACTTTTTAAGTCTAGAGTGCAATAATTCTCACATCTCTTCTTGGAGATTCGCTGAGAAAGGTACCAAAGCACCGGAAACAAAAATGGAGAAGAGACGTAGTCCTCGTCCTTATTACAAGAATCAATGTACACGAAAACGCTGACCATCTCAAGCTGCTAGAGCATCCGCTCGCAGACCAAAAAGGAATCGGATTCATGAATTAAATCCTCCATCCACTTCCATTCATCCGACTCACTCATTCTTATACGAACACCTGCTTATGGACTTTTGACATTAGATGTCCGAAGGTCTTTCTAAGCAGATCCCCAAGCTTAACGGCTTGAACTATGCATCCTGGTCGGTTCTTATGAAGGCTTACATGCAAACTCTCGGTATTATGGGAATCATTGATGGCACAATCGCTTTACCTGGAGCAGCTGCCGGACAAGCAGCCATTGACGCGTGGAATGTCTCTGACACTCGCGCTCAGGGAATTCTTACTCTTTATTGTGATCCAATGATCGCAATGTCTATTGACGGACAAGCATCTGCACATTTGAAATGGCAGGCTCTCCAAGCCACTTATGGCGCTCCTTCAGCCATGACTACATTCATGGAATTCCAGCGACTCATTCACATTCAAATTAAACCGAAGGATGATATCATGACCAAAATAGCAGAAATTACAATGCTTATTGCCGCTATCAGCGCTCAGGGCATCGCCCTTAATGACAAAATGAAAGCGCTAATTTTGGTTCATTCGATGACACAAGCCTGGGAACAGGCTCCTGTCAATATATTGTCCTCTATTGCTGCCGATCAACTTTCTCCCGATACCATAATACCTCGCATGAAAGAAGTCTGGGCCCACAAATTGGGCAAAACTATGCTTCCTCAACAGGAAAAAGCCAGGTCTTCTTCGACCACAGTCAAACAAGAATCAAATTCACTTCTGGCACGTATGAATAAACCGCCACTCTGTCAAATTTGCAGAGGCGGACATAATACTTCTGATCATCAATCTGGATCTGGATCAGGATCCTTTCGCAGTTACCGTGGAGGTCGCGGAAGAGGTTGCGGAGGTCGTGGCTGTGGACGTGGAGGTTACACTCCCTATGGCCAACAACAAGAGCAGCAAGGTTCTGGTTCTCGTGGCCGAGGCCAGAACAGACGCCGAGGCAAGGGCAAGGCCCGAGCCAATAATCTCGAAGTAGAAGGCACAGAAGCAATTGACGCTGCCTATATCGAAGAACTTCCTGAGGGTTCTTACAATCCAAACTCTAGATCTTGGGATGTCTACCCAGATCAGCAAAGCTTCGAGAATGCTGCTGAAAATTTTGATTTTGATTTGGAGCTTGATGCTCTCGAAATTCCACACCGTGAACCATCTCCTGAATATTCTCTCCCGGACACTACTCCAGTTGAACGAGTTTATTCTTCTGACCTTAATACGTATCTCGGACAACATGTTATATCTGACACCGAGATGCATGATCCTGATCTTTCCCGCCAGGATTTACGAATGGCGATGGAAACTGTGGGGGAGACCCCAAATTATCCAGTTGATGTTACAACCGGAAATCTTGCTCCTTGGTATCTGGAGGAAATTCAAAATTTCCAACTGGATCAAGTTGAGTCAGTCAAGATTCGTGTTAACATTCCCGGATCTAATTCCTGCCAATGTTCTATTTGTTGCTGAACAGCCACAACTTGCAACCTGCTGGCAGTTTCCCTTTGGGAACCGAAGCAACAGGAGGACTCGGACTCTCATCCGAGGAAGATTTCCCTTCCCCCTGCTGAGCAGGACAGGATATGTGCGAGTGGTTCCCTCGAACCCTCAGTACAAGTGGGAACTTCTGTTTTGGCTGGCGAGAACTTGGTGGAGAATCGGAATGTTGAGGATAATGGCATTGCGTCTGCGATGCAACAACGGACTCTTAATCTCTCTTCCCCTCGACTTCGAGGACAGGATAGTAGAGACGGAGGATCTCTCCACAAATCCATACTTGTAAAAGCCGCTAAAAAGCGTGCTAAGCCTATGTCCTTGTCACAATTTCACGAATCTGTGCCAGATAAACCTGTTGTAAAATCATTCCGTATAAAGCATAATCCAGACATTGAGTATGATCCAAACGAATCTGCCTCTGGGTATTTACCCATGCAATTCGATGGTCATGCCTTTGATTCTTATGACTTGTACCCCTTGGGTGTGCCTTTGTCATATGCGAATCTTAAAAAGAACCTACCAAAGGGTGAGTCATTATGGATGTTGGATTCTGGAGCATCACATCATGTGACTCCTTTTAAAACTGATTTCCTGACCTTTCGAGAATTTAAAAATCCACCTTTGGCCTCTACTGCGGGCACTAAAAAGGTTCAACTTCTCGGTCAAGGAACAGTGGTTATTTGCCTGGAAAATGGCAGTAACTTGCCACTACATAATGTTGTCTACAGTCCTTTGTTTTCAAAGCGACTATGTTCTTGAAATGTGCTCCTAAATAACGGATATCGGAGCACCGCGACACTTACTGGCGAGACTATCAGAGCACCAAATGGCCGGATTGTCCTTGAAGCAAAAATAGCTTCACTGACTTCACCTCTACATTGGTTTGTGGGCGTACCGCTTCCACCTACCACTGCTTTTGGGGTCCTTTGCCCTTTGGTCAAGGAATCACAAGAGTCTCTATGGCATAATCGCATGTGTCACCCTGCACAAGCAGTTCTCAGACATATTCACCGATTAGGTCTTACACAGGATATTACATTACAGGGGGAGACTACCTCTTGCAAAGGATGCGCACAGGGCAAATTATCTTCTGAAGCCTTTAAACCTTCTTGGAAACGTGCAACTAAACCTCTCGAGTTGGTCCATGCAGACTTACTTGAATTACCTGTTGAATCTTATTTTCAGTCCAAATACATCTTAACCCTCTTGGATGATTTTTCATCTTACGGTTTTTGCCTCTACCTTCACAATAAATCCGACACTTATACTGCTTTTGCCAATTGGATGGTGTCTATGCAAAATACTACTGGGCATCATCTTCTTGCGCTCCGTTCAGATCAAGGGGGAGAATTTATGGGTTCTACTTTCAAGGCGCTCCTTTCTTCGCGCGGAATTACCCATCAATTATCAATTGCCGACCAACCACAGCAGAATGGTCATGCAGAATGCTTTAATCGGACTATTTCCGAAAAAGCTGGGACCATTTGACATCATGCATGTATTCCGAAACGCTTCTGGAATTTTGCTTTTGACTGTGCACTTCATGTGTACAACCAAACTCCTCTTAAAAGGATTCAGTTCAAGACTCCAGTTGAACTTTTCTTAGGAAAAATCCCGGATATTTCCTATTTTCGCACCTTTGGCTGTAAAGCTTTTGTATGGGTTCCGAAAGAACAAAGAAAAGACAAATTGGAACCTCATGCAGTCGAAATGATTTTCTTAGGCTACGAGCCTAATACAAAAGGATATTGGTTCCTCCATGGACAAAAGATTATTCTTTCTCAAACTGCAAAATTCATGGAAGACTCTTTTCCTTTTTGCTCTGGTCAAAACAAATCCGAAACCTTTGACCCCGATACCAAAAGTGACCATGAATCATCTGTTTCCGATACAGAAAGCCTACATTCACTTCCGGATCCTGATCAGATCCAACTGCCGCCTCATCACTGGCAACCACCTCGTCCTAATACTCCACCACAACCAAACCCACAGCAGAGAGCTGCAGACCAGCCTAGAGCTCAACAACAAAGAAGAGCACCTGCTGCTGCACCACCAGTCAACCCTCATCATCTACGACATCCTCATCAACCAGAATTCATTCAAGGAGACTCACATAATGTTCGCAGAGCTCATCCTCCCTCAGATGACAGAGAACCTCGTCCAAAGCATTGTTTTATACCAGTATCTCATCCTGGAAACATTTATGGAGACAGACCTCCAGTACAAATTGAACGAGATATTCAACAGAATCGGGATCAAGCACAACAGTGGATTTGTAATGCTGAGCAGCATGCTCGCAACTCTAGGGAGAATATTTGGAGATATGCAGAGGAACGCAGACCTCCTTCTCTAAGGTTGCCTCCTGCAATGATTCCTCCTGAAGTTCCTCGTCAGTGGACTGAACATCCACAAGGAACTACTCCTCCGACTCCATTATCTCCACTTACTCCTCTTCCAGATACTCCTTCTTCACCCAAAGGCATGCCTGACCAACATGCACAAATGCCAGGTCCGGAAATGCATCCTTTTGAGTTTGCGTTGGCTGCCAGGGTTAAAAAATCTCTGGAACATTATAAAGATGTGCTAAAACTCTCTCCCAACTTACAAAAGAAATGGTTCGACGCAATGAAAGACGAAATAAAGTCTATTGAAGAAAGACAAGTATGGACTTTGGTGGATCCTCCTAAAAATCGGAAACCAGTCAAGTGTCGATGGGTTTTCGCTATTAAAAGCGATGGTCGTTATAAAGCTTGTCTTGTGGCAAAAGGCTTCACACAAGAATTTGGTACCGACTTTGAAGACACCTTCTCTCCAGTGGCTCGTTTCGAAACTGTTCGCATTTTACTCGCGTTTGCTGCCCAAAGAAATTGGGATACAGAAGCCCTGGATGTCAAAACTGCCTTCTTATATGGCAATCTTGATGAAGAAATTTATATGGAGCAACCAGAAGGTTTCAAAGTTTCGGGTCAAGAACACAAGGTTTATCGGTTGCTTAGAGCCCTTTATGGCTTAAAGCAAGCAGCATTGGCATGGAATAAAGCCCTCCATCAATCCTTACTCGCTATGGGCTATATTCGTTCAAAAGTGGATGCTGGAATTTATATCCACACTTCCAAAGCTGGAATCATCATTTTCCTCATCTATGTCGACGATGGACTCTTTCTAGGATCGGACAAGCGTCTTCTTAAAGCCAAGAAAGAACAATTCATGAAAAAATGGGAATCCAGAGATCTTGGTGAAGTCAAGGAATATCTTGGCATTCAAATTCACTGAGATAGGTCGAAGAAGGAAATTTATCTCGACCAAATACCTTATGTTAAAAAGGTTATTAAAAGATTCAACATGGAGACTGCTCAAAATGTTCGCACTCCATTACCCTCTGGATATCAACTGGAAAAAGCACCATCAGACTATCAAGCCACTTCTTCTCTTCGGTCACAATACCAGTCAATCATAGGGTCATTACTCTATATGGCTCTTGGTACTCGTCCTGATATTGCCTTTGCGGTTATTCGCATGTCTCAATATATGGCAAATCCTACCGAAGATCATCGAAATAAAGCCTTGCATATAGTTCGCTATATTGCATCTACTCCAAAACTGGCTTTATATTATTCAGGACTTGAATCTCGAATCTATGGCTTTGCAGATTCTGATTGGGCTGCAAATAAAGACACTCATCATTCCACTACTGGTTATGCCATGTATCTTGGCAATTCCCTTATTTCTTGGCGATCTCGAAAACAGAAGACTATCGCACTCTCTTCCACTGAAGCCGAGTATATGGCTTTATGTGATGCTGCCAGACAAATCAAATGGCTTTCTATGCTATTTGATGAACTCAAACTCAAGACCGAAAAGACTATTCTTTACTGCGATAATATGGGAGCTTGCTTCATTGCTGAGAATCCTGTATTGGATGGTCGTTCCAAACATATTGACATCCAATGGCACTTCGTTCGCGAATGTGTTCAAGATAATTTGTTCAGTATTGAATATGTTCAAACTGACAAACAAAAAGCAGACGGTCTTACAAAATCATTAACTTGGCAGAAGTTCGAGACTAATCGCTTGTCAATGGGTCTTGTGACCTTACCATTTTAGAGTGAGGGGGAGTGTTGGAAATATTCCTAATAGTTCCGATGTCTAGATTGATCCAGACTTACACATGTATCAACACGTTGTTCATCACATGACTTTTCTTAGCAATCAGCTCCACAATGATGTCACAATGACATCATAATATACATCATATTCCATGACCTTCTGCACTATTTCTTACTATACTGAGTAGTAGTTTCCTTTTACGCTACTGGTCTGTGCGTACCTACTCATGTATATAAACTCGGGGATTTCTTCCTCAATCCCCATCAAATTCTACATTTGTTCTTCACTTGTCAACTCGACAACTGAGCCCCTCATCAAAACCTCAACGTTTATCAAATGCTACTACCATTCTGAATAAAGGCAAGTGTTCTTGCCATTGCTCTTCGTCCTTTCCGTTCCTCTGCGCAATAAGTCCCTTCAGTACATCCTACCAAAAAGAAAAATCGACCCACCTGTCGATGTAGTCAACGCTCACGCCAAACGCGCCACCGAGACTCTCTAGCGTCACGCTCCGATACGATTCCAATAGTTGTGCATAGGCGAGGATACGCATTTCGCGCACGTAGTATCGAGTGTGGGGAGACAAAAGTCGGTAAGGGAGTAAATACGTTTGTTCGAGTGTGGCTGTCGACAGAACCCATCATAGTGGACAGGGTAATAATGCCATGAAAAGAAAAAGTTGACGTCAGTTTGTGTGGGTTCATTGATAAGGATTGCGGTGGGAGCGTACCTAGCGCTACGAAAAATTTCGCGTAGTGGCAGTCATAGAGATTCCGCAGAAGATCTTCCAGGACAGGCAGTTCTGGAAGAACCGAGATGACTTCAGGAGAGGCAATGAGCTGGGTGGAAGCAGCGATGATGAGTGACATGTAAACCACGCCACAAAGCAGACGGATCGCCCACCTTTTTCTTCAAGTCTACCCTTGGGAGGGTAAGCGTATTGCTGATCACGGCGAGTGCAACGAAGTCATTATAGGAGATGAGTTCCGTAGCAGTAAACGTGGACAGAGCATCGAGCAACAGCTCGCTGCCCAATCTAAACTGCCGAATGGAAACTGCGTGTAAGCCACGATACACTTTGAGACGATTCCGTCTGTCCCAATCACCCCCTTCCTCGATGAGTCTGCCCAAATCACATGAGTGAGAAAGAAATGGTTAGCGTCCGTGGACCCACTTTTCCGCCCCGGCAAGGTTCTCGGTGATGAGGGTATTATCTCCAAAGAAGAAACCTATTCGGATGAGAGTCAGGGTAATGTCTATCCTTGACCCAAGGCCTGGTGTTTTCTCCAAGGCAAGTCGTTGGGCTGCGACAGCCGCATCCTACATACATTCCCCATAAGCTCGGGATTGCAAACCGGGATCACCTGGGATATACCTTGTCACCTATCCGAGTGAGATGGTTCGCCCTCGCCTTCAAAGCGTCCGATATTTCAGATTCCCCCTCTGTCTTCTGGGCTTCAGCCAGACGTTCATCCAATTTCTTGAGTTGCTCTTCGTTTGCCTTTTCCATGGATTCGAGGAGAGCCGGGTCGACGTCTATCCCACTTGAAGAGGTGAGCGCCCAATAGTAGGGGGCCATGTCTGTACCGGTGTGAGCCTGTATTTGATCGTTAAGAGTCTACACACTGTCTGCCTTGATGCCTTCCAAGAGCGATTTGCGTGCGACATCGTGTAGATGACCCAGAGAAGGGTTCATAAGTGTAAACAAGTGTTGCGAGAGGCTGAGATTCGGTATGGGCAGGACAGTGTCGTCGGTCATGGCTAGGTTGCTTGGAAGTAGGAGGAACGCGTCAGTGCCCGGTGTTGGTAGTCCCACGACGGACGCGTCACCCCAACCACCACCACCACCATGACCACCAACCAAGCACTGCTGGACGAAGCCAAGAATACCAACCCAGCACGGGCGGAAAAGATTTACAAGCAAATCCTCGTCTCATCAGGTTTGTCACTTGTGTTCGATGCCATCCAAGCTGCCCATCACTTCATCCCCAACAGCATCGCCGTCCGGTGTCGAGAGAGATCAGGTACTGCGAGACCAAGAAAACGCCATGATTAAACTTGCAGAACTATACCGAGATCAGCGGTGAGCCTCTCTCTCAACTCCTCGTCCCAGCCGCCCTCATGGACGAGCAGAAATGCACAAGGGCTGGCAGAGGTGATCACCCTCTCGAGATCGTTCATGTCGTCTACCGCGAAAGCTAAAACGGCAAAACTCAGTTTGTGCCAATGCTCCGGTTACTGTATTGAAACTCACGTTCACCCATGTAGTTCGTACCCTACTCAATTACTTCAGCGACGACCCAACAGTCGTTAGACCCAAATTGACGTTCTACTGGATAACATCGACTGGTCGAAACGCGAGAAACGGATATTCCTCAAACACAGCTTGGAAATCCGTCTCGTCTCACTGTGAGTCTTGCCATACATATATGCCTGTGCATGTATTTCTCATACCCACTTAGCCAGCTGGAAGTTTCGCAGTTTAAAGCTGCTCTGACACGGATAGATACGCTTCTTACTGAACTCAAGAAACTGGATGACAAGATAATCCTCACCGAAGTCCATCCCCTCGAGAGTCGTGTCTATCGCGGCATCGGAAACTTGGTAAAAGCAAAGGTACAGTTCTTCCTTGCTTCCGGAACACTGCTCACCCGACTCGACTATTCTAGGCTGCCCTCACATCAACTCGGACGGCTGCTAACTCAATATACTGCCCACCACATTTACAAGCAGCTCTCGATTTACAATCTGAGATTCTTCACGCAGAGGATAGAGATTACACCACTGCCTACTCCTACTTCTACGAAACGTTTGAGAACATGTCGTCTCAAGATGACCCGAGCGCACTGAATGCATTGAAGTATATGCTCCTATGCAAAGTCATGTTGAATCTCGTGCATATCTTCCACCCTCAACTGGTCCCAGACTCACCTTTATCGCAGCCAGAGGACGTCACCACTCTTTTATCCTGTCAAACTGGCGGTGAAATATGCTCAACTGCGTGAGATCGAATGCATGCGTGCGATAGCGCTTGCCCACCAAAACCGTAACTTGGCTGAATTCGAAAAGGTGCTAAGGGATTATAAAGATGGTGCGTCTCCCCTTCGGTGTATGTTCCGTCTCGCTCATCCCCCGACCATCGTGTTGGGCAGAACTCTCGTCGGACCCAACAATCCGTTCGCACCTCGCGGCGCTTTACGACACGCTTCTCGAACAGAACCTGTTACGCATCATCGAACCTTATTCCGTCGTCGAGATCGATTACGTCGCCAAACAAGTCGGCCAAGGTCGACAGGACGTCGAGGCAAAGCAAGCTTTCTCACCATACACGATGTACTCGTAAGGTATTCACCCATGTTTTGTTTATAAAGGCTGTCCCAGATGATACTGGACAAAGTGTTTTATGGCGTCCTCGATCAAGGAAAGGGACGTCTATTAGTCTTTGACGAACCTGAAGTAGACGTAAGCAGTGCTTGCTTGCAGTTGCCATGTCACGTTGCTGACTTGTCTACTGATAGGATACGTACGGTGCTGCAATTGATACACTGGAGCAGGTTGGGAAGGTCGTGGAATCGTTGTATGCAAAGGTGAGTTTATTTTGGGGTTTTTTATATATAATCGTTGACGGTATGTGGTATAGACGGTCAAGATTGCATAAAGGGTCGTGCTGTAGTACTAGTTCTAGCATGTAGCTGGCCATCCGGGCGGGCATACTCGGAAACGGGGAACTTGGAGTCTCATTATTAGAAATAACTGGAGACCACATCACTGAGGATGGCTGACTAGTCTAGGGTCCAGTACATACGCTGACCGCGCCACGGTCGACTCTGCACCCACAAACACCGCAGGGCTTTTTATGTTCTGGGCGCTTGTACAAAAATGTTGGACTATATAAAAAACCACGAAAACGAACCTGAATTGCCTCCAATTGTCATCGCCTGACGACGACGATGGTTTGGTCGTTCCTCGAGAACCTGCCCACCCACATCTTCCGTGTCCCACCTGTGTCAGAGAGACGCCCGTTCGACACATCCACATTCTTCGCGTACATCGTACCAACGTGCCTCTCTTACTATGTCGCCGCAGTCCTAGTCATTCTCCCCGGAACGCGTGTGTTGCGCATCGCACTGTGGCCACTCGTCGCTCTCTTGGCTTTTCGAGCCACCATGGGCATCGATTTCACAGGTGGGGACCCTCAGAAAACGTTTTTTAATGTTGATTTTGCGGTATGCTCTACCTGTGCCATCTTTCATCCTTCTGACGTTTGGTGATTCCCGGTCTGTGTAGCTTATTATGTTCTGCTTCGTCGTGCGCACGTTCGAATGGACAGCCGCAAAAGACCCACTCAAGCGGCATCTCCAGCCAGCTGGTTCTTCTCCGTCCATCTTCGTGGACGCGCTGGACCTCTCCACTAACGTCCGCGGTGTCGGTTGGAACTGGTCCAAAAGCCTTCGTTTTCCTCCGGACGCACGTCCCTCCTCGCGTGGATGGTTCATAGCATATGTCTTACTCTCCACTTGGTACCACAGCGTTGTATGTGGTGCATTCCACCTTGCTACGCAAGCGTTTTCGCCCGAGACCTTCACTGTTCTAAGTGGAGGCACGATCTTCGATGCGACACTTCCTCCTCTCATCCGATACTTCCGATCCGTCATCATCACTGTCTTCGCCGCAGTTGCCATCTTCGCTGTCATGCAACTGATATATGACATTGCTACGCTCATTGGTGTTATCGTGCTTCGGCAAGGCCCTGCGCAATGGCCACCCGTATTCGACAAGCCGTGGAAAGCAGACTCGTTGCGCGACTTCTGGGGTTATAGGTGGCATCAACTGTTTCGGCGGACATTCATCGTTGTTGGAGGATGGCCTCTTGGGATCGCCTTCGGACGTATGGGATATGTGCTAGGATCATTTCTCGCATCGGGGGTAGTCCACAACATCGTGGTAGTCATGCTCAATCAAAATGTCGAATGGTGGTGCATGCTCCTCGCGTTCGGGATGATGGCCGTTGGCGTTATCCTTGAGCACATGTTCACGCGGATGACGGGGAAGGAAGTGGGTGGGTGGATTGGGAGAGTATGGTCGATGGCTTGGTTGTTGGTGTGGGGAAGTATCATGATGGATGGGTTCGCGCGAGCGGGGTTGCTTGCATCAACGACCTTGTTGGATACTGCGTGCCCTGTCAAAGGGATCGTGGAATATTATGTGACGGTGTTGGATAGGTGGTTGAGGGAATGTGCATCATAGTGTGCTCTGCTTTCCCTGTACTGTGACATCAGGCTACCTGCCTTCTGTATGGGCATGATCCAGCTATAGACCCGCCGAATGTCTGTTATACACAACTGGTGTAGCCCCAATAATAGTTAACCCTCTCTCGACTCTTATGATATGACATCCGAGGACTGAGGAGCAGATCTTCAATACTGCTGCTTCATGGCACAGCAGTTACATGAAACTGAGGCGCGTCAACAAGGCCTCTTGAACTTCCAACTTCAAAATCCCTATCCAAGAAAGTGTCATGTTACTCTGGACCATTTAAGTGTGGAATGCATAATGCCCAGAGTATGCAGAGGGAGGGACAGTGCTCTATGCACAGGACACCAGCTTCTCGAGGAGTTAGTGAGTGATAAGGCAGTGTAAGTAAGACCACTGATTGGGAGAAATGATGGAAGAGACCTCCAGTATACCAGTGAGCACATTACCACCCCTCCAGGTTGTAGTACAAATTTTATGTGCCAACCAGGGTCAGGGCTGTCCATCTACTTCCTACATCTGGGAAACAGCTACACAACATGGTTGTTAACAGCTCTTCTGCACTTGAGCAAGCTCTCTCATTGGCCAACAAGTGTCTTAGCAAGTCTTATGACAAGTCACTTCCAAACAGAGGCAGGTATAACCTGCTCACTCCCTCAGGTAGTTTTGCAGATGTACATCAGTAAAGCTAAGCATTCAAAAACCTGGGTTTTCAAGCACTTAATGTTTGCCGGTGTTTGCCAAGCATTCAAAAACTGTCTAATGTGCATGCTGTAATTTGGCTGAATTTACTGATGTACTTCCATTGGTTGCCACTACCCAAGGGTCAGGGCCACATATGTGGTAGATAATGTTGGAGTGAAATGACCCCTGTCCATACTTGGACTTGGGCACATGATTGTGTTGCTTACATAAGTGGTTAGAGCGCACATACACTAGTAAAATTTACCTAGTCCCTCAGTAGCTTGACAGACTACTGAGGTTCCCTACAGAATCCTCTCTGGGTTTCCCCTCTGCAACCCCACAAACTTCTTCAGGTTATGAGCCCCACCTAGTGGCAGAACCTAAGAGGAATGGCAGTGAAGAGATATTGGACTAGGGAAGGCTTCATCTACATCCCTGAGCTCAAGACAAATGGACAGAATTGGAAAGAGTATCACACAAAGATACTCAAGGTTGCATGAACCCAAAATGTTGAAGAGCTGTTGGCTGGCATGAAGCCAAAGCCAAAACTAGCAGGAGATGAACTAAATAAATGGCAGCAGTTGAATGTGAGCACTGAGTCTATCCTGATGTGGAACATCCCAGACTCAACCTTTTCACACATCAAATACTACAAGACAGCCCATGAAATGTTCAACTACCTAGTGACTACCTATGGCAACCCAAATCCTATCTCCATCCCTGCAAAATGTGTCAGCACACCAGCTGAACAGTCAAGCATTGGCAAGGATGAACTGAAAGGAACAAATGGCAAGTGCAAATATGCATGAGAACCATGAGACAAGACACTCACCACATGCAAAGCCTGACAAACTGTCAAGTGAGCCACCTAAGGAGGTGATGCTCAAGGGGAACAGTTGTAATGAGGTGAGAAGTGGTGATGGAGTAAAAGCTGAGGCTACAGTCAAGGTGGTCCAGCAAGTCATGTCACAGGGTGGAGAGGTCGAACCAAAGACTATGAAGTCCACTGAAGATGTGCTTTGTCAGTGTGCATCTCCAGTCAAGTTCAAAAGGGTGAAATCAGTTGAAGTCGAGGGTGAGACATCTGGGATGGTTAGTGAAAACAAAGCCATGAAGAGAGGTCTGGGCAAGGAAGCCACAGACGAGACCAATGGCCAGGATATCACAGCCAAGGAGATGGAAAACCTCAAGGCAGACAGTGGGGACACAGAGATCCACCACACATCAAACAGGCCAGAACATGAACAACTGGAAAGGGCCAACAATGAAAGGCTGGCCAGGATTGTTGAGGTAAGAGTGCCACCAAGCATTGGAGCATCCAGCTACCCCAAACTCAGAGAACAGAGCTCGAAGGGGAGTGGGATGGCAGGTGTGCAAGCAGTGGCACAGATGTGCCACAACACTATGTAGACAACCCCAGCAGCAACACAAAGGACACAGGTGGCAGCACAGATGCACTGCAGCATGATACAGGTGACCCTGGTCACCATGCACATGAGAGAAGCACACACATGAGTGCCCAAGACCCACCAATCAGCCTCCAGACACCAGCCAAACACCCACAGGAGGGAGTTGGCACTACAGCTGCTAAACAGCATGCAGTGGGGGAGATGAGCTGCAAGGAGTCAGATGGGCATGCTGAACCCAAGGTCATGGCTGAGCAATGCAAATGTGAGGCTATTGAGCCAGTGCCAGACCTAACTCTTCAAATGGAAGCACACACTGCCAAGAATTTACTACGAATGCCTACAGAGCACAGTCAACCTAAACCCCCTATGACAAACTACATACTGGAGTCACCAACTGAGCAGGGACAAGTACTGCTTGAGGGGGAGTATGGTGGTAATGTGAGCAGCTATGCAAATGGCCAAAACACCAGTGGAAAGGATCTTCGAGATCACACACACAAGTCAGCTGGTAGTGAGAGCCATCAGTGCACAATTATGAAGATGCTGGAAGTATCAAGGGTCAGCAGCAGAACAGTTGAGAATGGGAGGGATGCACCAAAAGTGTGGGTGCAGCCAGTCAAGGCTGAAAATGACCAGGACAGCAGTAGTGGTCACAACACTGGCTCACATGGAGTCAAGGATGCATCACCACCCATGGCTGCAACTCAGTACACCTATGAAAACACCCTCAACAGGCTGGAGCTGCACAGCAGTGCACCTGGAGGTGCAGGACTGCACATCAAGCAAGGTTGCACATTGGCAATAACAAATGAGACCTGTAGGTGTCAGTACACACCAGAGGAGCACCTGAAGGAAGGAATTGGTACTACAGCTGTTGAACAGCACACAGTGGGGTCCAGTGAGGTGCAAGAGGTCAAGACACTGTGAAATGAGTGCAACTGTGCACTGGCAAGACCACAAGAATTCTACATACATTGGTGCATGCTCAAGTGCACACCTGAAGACAGTAGAGAGCCAGAAGTGCACAGAGGCACTGAAACTTCCCAGCCAGTCAGTGGAGATGTCAAAGGGAGCATGACAAGGCTGGAGACAGGGCCTACCAGCACTAGGACAGCCAGGGCATGAGCATGCCTGCTGGACACAGAATCAGGGCCAAGGGAGGCCAGTGTTGGAGTGAAATGACTCCTGTCCATACTTGGACTTAGGCATGTGATCATGTTGCTTACATAAGTGGTTAGAGTGCACACATACACTAGTAAAATTTACCTAGTCCCTCAGTAGCTTGACAGACTACTGAGGGTGAGTACACTTCTACATAGATAGAATACCCTTACTAACTTGTATAGTTCCCTACAGGTACTATACTCAATATAAGTAGCTTGACAGACTACTGAGGTTCCCTACGGAATCCTCTCTGGGTTTCCCCTCTGCAACCCCACAAACTTCTTCAGATAAAAGGGTGGTGGGGTCCCCATGGAGAGCAGCACAAGTAAGTTCTCATCAGAGGGCTGCTGCTACTCCGACTCTGACCCATCCCAGGCCAGATATTTAAGCAGGTATTAGCAGGACTATCCATCAATGATGGAAGTTGCCCTTACCCCAGAAAGGCAACCAATGAGGCACAATGCTGATGGTGCTCAGTATACATGATTTAGGAATAAGGCAAGTGGGGGAAGAGTCAACAGTGTGCACCCTGGCTCATACCAGTGACCAGCCCTCAATTGAGGGGGGTACTCTTCTGTATATCCTTGGGACTGTGCAGCACCTCCATTGCCAAGGCAAAGTAGTAACACTTGCCACACAGGCACAAGAGATCTTCCTTAGAACACACTATATGGTTATCCAGACGTTGTGGTCTGTATTGATGTAGGGCAGGAAGTCCCCTTATCTCTACGTACTACGAATCCCTTTATACTGTAGCAGACAGGTATGAAATGTCAATGCAGATGAACAGGCCAAGTAAATCAGAAAGATAAATGAGAAACAAATTGGATCTGTCAAGTGAACGAACATCTCTTGGGAACATACTGTCAATCGTTGGTCTGAAACCCTACATTCCCCCCTCCAGGGTACAAAGTACCCTCTCCAGTCATACTTGCAGTAGCGCCTTCCTTATGTGGACTTCCCTGGGGGTTTTCCCATGGTGAATCCCTGTGCATCCTCGTGACTGGCCACATGTGCTGGGCTAACCTTGTCATTGTCCTCCCCCAAAGCATCCTTGTCCTCCTCAAAACCCTCATCCCCAGTCATGGTGTGGTCGACGATGAAGGTACTGGGACCAGCAACCAGCTGTCCAGGTGCATAGGAGTTGCAGACATGAGGATTGGTGTTAGCGTTTGACTTGCGTGATCTCTGGTTAGGCCTCGAGGATTGGGAGATGTGAGGAAGGCGAGTGTCGCAAGGGAGGGGATTACCATAAGGCTCCGCCTCTCACTTTTGACTGTCTCATTGCTCCCGGCAGTCGACATAACCCTGGTGAGCCCTCTGCTGTTGCTTCTTGACTCGCTCAGCAGTATCCCACAGGAGGGCATTGATGGTATCCATCTGAATGCTACTGAGCATCTGTCCACCCATGACCTCTTCTTGGCTGCGTAGGTCCACATCATTCCCCAGTACCTCCTGTCTGGTTGGGGATGGTCCCTCAGCCACCACAACTATGTTCCTGCTGTCATCAACTTCATAGTAAGCAAACCTCACCTTGGACTTTGCTTCGCAGCTGTGCGGTTCTCTGAACAGATGATAACCCACAGGGGTGTCCAGGGCGACCTCATGTTTGCATCGAAGTGAGTGGTTGTACTCAAAGTACATCTTAACCTGTTCCCTGTGAATCACCACATGCTCATCTCCCTGTCCTTCCTCATCAGGGTTGCAGACCAGGAAAAGGTTGGTACTTTGTCACTCGATGTTTTTCATTTTGCATGTGGTGGACATGAAGTTTGGTCTGGTATGAGCAGGTGGGGGACAGGTCCTGAATGATAAGTTTTGTAAGTCATTAACGACTTCTGCGATTGTGTGCTTAATAGGTTCTAGGTCCCTCTTGGTGATGTTACTCTGTTCACCTCGCCCTTTGCACCAAGAAGATGGTTGAATTTGGTAAGGATGTTTTTTGTTAGGGGTGTTAGAAGCAGGATACTTATCATGATGTGCTTGGTGCCCAGATCTCAGTTCTGTCAGCAGGTGCTGGCATGAGGGGCAGCCATATGTAAATTGTTTGGGAGGTTGTTGAGGAACAGTGCATGTGGAGTGATGGCGGGGAATGTGTGAATGGTGTGCAGAGCGAGTGTTGTGGCGAGGTGGACAGGGTGATGGGGTTGTCCTTGGGGCCTGACCATTCCATCTCATGCATGGGCAATTTTTATGGCTTCCACACAGATGTGGTGCCAAGTATCCAACGAATACCTGGGGATCATCACCCAACATGTCCCTGTCACCCATGTCCCTCAAATTATCTATTCCATCAACTCTGATTACCTTGAAACAATCACTTAGTGCCTTCAAATGAGCAATGTCCTTGTATGGGAGCCAGGTCTGATCTCCTGCTGTCCACTGTACTTCAAATGTCGTGTTGGCATGACTTCCATGGTGCCAGATTATACGATCTATGGCCCATTCATGGTTGGTCCCTCCAAACTCAGGTATCTGGTCATCCTGTTGACCTGGGAACTTTCAGTCATCATTCGGGATGTGGATCCTTAGTAGGGAAGAGTGGAACAGGTCATGCACCCCCCTCCACTTCAGGTTATCTGGGAGCTCGATCCAGAAAGAATAGTTCCCGAAATCTTCCAGTATTCAGTAAGGTCCCATGAATTTTGGTATGAGCTTCTGAGATGTTCCCTTGGGGAGACTAATGTTCTTTGTAGACATGTATACAAGATCCCCTTTGATAAATGGGCAATCTCGGTGCTTTTTATTAGCACTGATAGTCTGCTTCACGCATGATTTCATTATTGCATTGTGAGCATCCATTATTGTCAGTTTCATCTTATTGGCAAAGGCTCTGACACTCAGGTACCCGTCCTTTGTAGGCATGTCCCATATCATTTTTTGAGGCATCTGTCCAGTATTCAGGAAGAACAGTGCGTAGCCTGTCAACTCAGACATTGCACTGTTGATGGTGAATTTGATGGCAGGTAACCATGACACCCAATCCTTCTGGTTATCACCGATGCAACATTGCAACATTTACCCAATGGTCTGATTTGCCTGTTCAGTGGCTCTGTCCATTTCTGGATGATAAGCACTGGACATTTTCTGTTTGATTCCAATCAAGCTATTAAGGTGTGTCCAGAACAGGCTCGTGAATAGGATGTCGTGGTCACTGACTATCGCCCTAGGTAGGCCATGGTATTTGTATACCTCAGCGAACATCAATTCCATGACCTTGCATGCAGTGTAGGTTGTTTTACTTGGCACAAGATGCACCATGGATGTTAACAAGTCAATGATCACAGTGATCAAATTGTAATTTCCATTGCAGTCTTTAGACTCAGGTAGGGGGCCTATGAAATCCACCCCAATTGCTTCCCATGGTTGTGAGGGGATGGGTAATGGGTTGAGCAGTCCAAACAGCTTGTGTGTTGGAGGTTTGCTGTGTTGGCAGGTTTGGCAGGACACACAGAACTCAGTGATGTCCTTCACCATAGTGTCCCACCATGGGAACTCCCATATGTATGAGACTGTTTTCTTCACACCAAAGTGGGTGAGGATAGAATGCACCTGATGATCACAGCTTCACGAAGTCATTTACCTTTTACCTTGATGTTAGGTACACAGAACACCATGCAATCTTGTAGCTTCAGTTTAATGAATCCATCCAGTGTGACTTCAAAGTTTTTGAATGCCTTTGGATCACTCAGGATTTGCTTAAAGAAAGGGTCCTGGTCATATTTGTCCTTTGCTGCCTCCAGTAGGCCCTTGTTTCCTGGATATACTACTAATGGTACACATGTCATTGTGCTCTTATCCATGCTGTCTGGGGCAGCAGCAGGTTGATCTGTGTTTGTCACATGTGCATTCTGCATATGGTCCTGCAATGCAGATGTGGTGTGGTCATTCTCAGGTGAGGCAGGTATGTCTGTACCCTTCCCCCCCTTCTTTCGCTCACCTGGGCCCAGGAGAGCAAAACAATTCTTCACATTACTTGCAAATTCCATGCCAGTCTCCAGGTGACCAGTCTCCAGGCGACCTGTCTCTGCTGGAGGAGGAGGATCCTGTTGACTACGAGACTTCACCATCAGTTTACCTGTCTGCATAGCATCGACAGACTGGTCCTGCAGTTTTCTCAGTGGCCTAATTTGGATCATCAGTCAGGGCACACTTGATGACGATGATGATCCTTCAGGTGCATTCACTAATCTACTCCCAGATGGTTGATCTGTTGACATTCCTCATTCATTTGGGGACATGGCAAGTGTTTCGATTCCAATGTATACAGGCATGGTAATGATCTGCTCAGTGTGGTCTTGAGACATGGAGTTGATTTCCACATCATGATGTAGGTACTTGCTCAGGGTGCAGATCATTCCTGGAGCATCAAACTCATACATTCTTGACAGTGCATCTGGGAGAACATTGTCCTTGCCCAGGACATGCTTTATCTCAAAATTGAACTCTGCCAGTTTTTCCAGCCAGTGTGCTTGCCATTTGGAGAGTTCCTTCTGGTCTAGCAGGTATGTCAGGTTTTTATGGTTGGTCACCCAGGTGAAGTGGATGCCCTGCAGAATATCCTTATGCCTCAGCATCATTTCAACACCTGTGAGCAACTCCTGTTCATGGACAGGGTAATTGCACTGTGCAGATGACATCTTTGCTGAATAGAATGCAGCCACTTTGGAGGACTTCCAATCCAGTCCCTGAGCAATAACACCACCAATACCATTCCTGCATGCATCAGTCATCACCCATATGGGATCGCAGTTGGGCCCATAGCTTAGTGGTACTTGACAGTGAGGTGCGCACACTGTGACATATTGCTTCACCATATCAAATGCTCATTGTTCAGTATATGTCCATCTAAATGGACGAGTTTCCACACTAGCTTCTGCTAGCACTCCCAGGGGTACATGCACTTTGTAAATATCTTCAGTGAGGTAACCCACTGACCCTATAAAACCCTTGCACAGGGTGCGGTTGGTAGGAACCTTCCAATTGTGGATCTGGTCAACTTTCTCTGGGTCCATTTTAATGCTGTCATTGGTGACGATGTGTCCGAGGATCTTCGTCACAAAGGAACTGCTATTTCTTCTTGCTCAGGTACAACTTCTCTCGAGTGAGAACCTGAAGCACCAATTTAACATGGCATACATGATCCTCCAAGGTATCAGAATAGATGATAATGTCATCGAGATAGATGTCCATGAAAGACCCAATGTATTCCCCAAAGATATGGTTCATGAGTGCCTAGTAGGTTGCTGGGGCATTACAGTCTCCTTGCTGCACAATGATGCTGACCATATTTCCATCAGGGGTTGTCACTGCAGTACACTTGATATGTTCCAGGACTACTTGTATCTGTTCATACACATCAGCCCTGTCTATTATCAGTCAGTAAGGTTTCCAAGCCATGCATTGTTGGATGCTGTCCATGTCAGGCATTGGGGACAACAATTTCCTGGTGTTCTTATTGCATTCCCTCAAGTTGACTATGACTCGCAGTCATGGAGGATCCCCTGCTTTGGGGATGAGCAGCATAGGGCATGTATTGCAGGCAGCTGTAAGTTCCCATTGACCCATTTTCAGGTAAGCATTCTTTTTCTCAGTCCAGAGTGGTCATAATGCTTCAGGGCATTTAGACAGTCTCCACAGATATATTTTCTCCTCATCAATCAGAGGAATCTCATGGTTGATTGCATGGAATGGGGGCAAGGCTGTTGAACCAACCATTGAACAGAGTGACTTTGATAGTTCCTGAAGATATTGGCATGCTTTCTCAATGTTGTCATTGTACACCTTGGTTGCTCAGGATTCCAGGACCAAGACCTGAGGCCTTTTCATTTCCATTGGTGTTTTACTTCCAATTACCATGCATGGTGAGTGCAATCCTACCAGTACCTGATGTTGGTAAAGGAATGGCATTCCTAAGATCAGGTCATAGTTCTGAATGTTCATCACATCAAAATGACACTCGCAGTCTATTCCCTGGTACTGGAAGTATACCTTTGCCCCGAAGTTCACTTTTGATCGCAAGCCTTGGACAGCCAGCTGAATAGTGAGGGGCTTTTCCAATGGGATTCTCTTTATGTTCAATTGTTCAGCAAGCATTACTGACATGAAATCTGCCAGGGAACCAGTGTTGATCAGGGCTCACACAGGTTGGCCATTGGTATGCACCACCACAACTAGTGGCTTTGGAACCTTACATGTGAAATCTTTTGTGATTGCAGCATTGTGCTGCAATGTCAGGTGGCCATCTGCCTTGACAATGGTGCCATGTAGGTGGAGCACATTACATGGTATGTTCTTGAGCTCACATCCTTCATCATTTGATGCATCATTGTCTTCTTGGAATAGGTGAGATAATGCCAGGTCATCATCCTCAGTGGGATCAGACCCAGCAAGACTTACACACACATGGAGCAATCTCTTCATGTGCTAATGCATGACATCAAACTCTTCTGATTTTAGTTTGCACATGGGGAGCTTGAAGCACAAGGCTGTGTCATAGTCATAGACCTTGCAAGTCAAGTCATCCTTAAGGATGCATGCAAAGCGTCCCTGATTCTCTCCTTCAAGTACCTGCAGGCTGTACATCTCCAGCTTGGTCTCTATGGCCTCTTCAATTGGGCATCCCATAGGTGCAGATCACCATGTTCGAGCTCTATCCCATTGACATAAGCCAGATTTCGTCATTCTGGCCTTCTCACCCTTCCTGAACCAGTACCAAGAGTCTAGTCTGAAGGCAGGGTTCATCAGCAAGCTGGTTTCAACAGTGATGGCATCTGCAGGACCTAAGACATCCTTTTCACTGTCAGTGATCA